TTAAAGAAGCGTGAATTACCTTTAAAGAAGGTTAATTGCTGGAGGGGCGCGCCTCAAACCTACCTGCTGCTGTCCAGTGTCCAAGCCCAGCGCTTTGACGAATCCCGAGGGATCGATGTATCGCCTCTTGCTGTTCTGCAGCAAAGCGAACAAGTACTGGAGGTGTTCGCAAATGCTCTGAGGCTCGTAGTCTATTATAAAAACAACCAGTTGCACCAGTTACAGCAAGGAACTCAAGGCAGAAGATAAGAGTTTTAAGTATTTTGCTTGTTCTTTCTTGGTAAGCGTAAATCTCACAATTAGAAATTATGCAGTTTAAATTATGTATTAAATTATCGTGAGAACCGAAGGGGCTCCGTCAGCGATGACAGTGAAATCCCAGCGCAGGCCAAACTATCATGGAATTATTTAGGTTGTGAAAAACCCTTAAGATCACTGAGTCCGACCATAAATATCCCACTGTGCCCAGCACGAGCTGGGCTCGAACAGTTTAACCAGCGTGCGCTGATCATCCTGTAGCAACAGCTTCTTACTTCCCCTGAAAGGTGAAACATCATTTAAAAACACCATAAAAACAGGAGGAGAAGACACCAGGCAGCTGTCCTGACCCAGCGGGCACCTATAGCGCCATACCATACGGAAAGGGACGTCACCCGGGCCCATGGCGTCTCCTGTGAGGGCACTGGGAGCCTCACTCGTACCAGGGACCTGAATTTTGGGATGAGTGCGGCTCCACGGCAGCGCAGATCAGTCCCGACCCACGCGCTTCCATCCCAGCACCATTGTTAAGCTGGGAACCAGTCTGGGAAGCAGCCCGGCAAGAAATAAACCCAAATAAGGTTTATCAACCAGATTGGATCACTCTGATTTAAGAAATAATTCCAATAAAGTTTGATTCATTCCCAAAGACTGAATAATGGACTCAAAAACAATGGTGTGGAGACTCGATGAGCGGCTGTAGCTTCACCCATTGACTCTCCCGCTAAACATTATCCCAACGCTGACGCCAGCGTGTAAAATTTTAGGAAAAAGTAAGCAAAACCACTCCTGTTCGCAGCAGCCGACCTTCACCCACCTTTGTCTTTCGGGATGCCCTCTCCGGCCGTGTGCGTGCTGCTGGGACACAAGTAGAGGGCTTGCCGGAGCTCCAAGTTAAGAAACCACATCTGCAAGAAAGTGTTCACGTAGCACGTGGCGCCGAGGTTCGTTAAGCCCACGAACGCGTTCTGGCGTAAGAGAGAAAGCAAAAGTCATCACTCACCGCTGCCGAGGAGGAGCAAAGCAGAAATCCCGCTGTTGGGTGGCTGCTTTCGGCTTTTTTTTGGAAAAACGCCACTTTGGCGTCATCCAAACGGTCAAATCCCAAACTCCCCAGCTATGGGGGCACACGAGGTGTCACCTCCCCTCGCCCCCATCATCCCCCCAGGGACTGGGAAGGGCAGAAGATGTTTTTGGGGAGGGGGGGTTACCTTCTTGCGACGCTCGCAGTTGGGGTCGTCGATGTTGTGGAAGCTGTTCTCATCGATCTCGCCCAGCCAGACGTGTTCCCCGATGCCCACCAGGCAGTTGGGGTTCCCCCGGCAGTTCCTCCTGCAGAACCCGCCCCGACTGTCACCCCCAGCGGAAGGGACACTGCTGGCCCTTGGGGGGTCACCATGGGGGGACCACATAACACTAAACAGAGTGAGCGGGGTGGGTCATGGCTCCCCCAGGGAAGAGCACAGGACCCGGAGGGGTTCCCTGTATCTGAGGAACCAGGCAGGAAGAGGGCCCCCCCTCAAAACCCCAGGGGAGTCCCCTGTATCTGGGGAGCCAGGCAGGGAAAGACCAGGGGGGGTCCCCTATATCTGGGAAATAGGGCATGGAGAGGGGTCCCCCACATCTGGGGAGCCAGGCAAGGAGAGGTGATCCCTATATATGGGGAACT